CCTGATTGTCTTTATTTTTGACAATTCATCGAATCATTTGACATTAAGGATTTCACTTAGTTTTGGACATATTAAGTGCCTCAGAATAATCTGGAAACAATTAAGTTCTTTGATCAGCCTACATTCGATCTTCTAAAATATATCTATATTTATACAAACATATGTAAAGTATATTATCCCATAACTCTGTAGCTAGGCATATGGCTCTGTATATTATGACAGTCTGGGAGTACAAAATTTAAAACCCCAAATGATTTTTATAAGTATACACTAGTGAACATGGGAAATTTTTTTAACTTTTAATCTGTGATTCAAATGAAAAGCATCAGAGTTGATGCAGGAGATGGAAATATACTTTGTTGTACGTTTCTGTACATATATAATGGGTGAGGACCTATTGGTGTTTATTTCCACCTATTTCTTAGATGGAAATCCATGCTTAAGTTAAGTCGGGTTGCATTGTGCCTTCTCCGCTGTTTGCTCCTTGTGAATTTGGCCTTCTATGTTATAATGTTTTAATTCAAGTACTTTCCTTTTCTCATGGCTTACATCCAGAAGAGGTCGGCTGTTTTCTCCCCTGATAGTATATGTTTTGGTCATGGCTGAGTTTAGGCTGCTTGGCACCTTCAGTGTTCAGCTGTCAGTGGGTAGCCTCTGGACCTTCTTTTTATTTGTAAAGGTTAGAAATCAAAAGCTTTCCATGTGACTAATCTTTTATCATATAAATATAACGGCCTGCTGCCCTTCTTGAGAATTCTGATAATTGACACCCAGAGATTAAACCCTTCTTTGGTCAGTACTGAAACACTCAAAAGTCATCCAACTTGTAGCATTTTTTAGCAGTGGGAGCACTTTGGTTGTAGTTGCAGACCAGAATGAGCTATAAATAAATAAAATCCTACAGTGCTCGCTTCCTTCATTCAGAGTAGTCTGGTGATAAGATGCAAGCATCTGGCAGAAGGGAAGATTCTCAGCAGGTTTAAGTGCTTACCAAAGTGCTTTCCTGTATCCATGGCTCAGCTTCTTGTCTCCTCTGTGTTATTTTGGCACTCAAGACTCGTAAGATTGGAGAGTTGAGTTTAAAACTCTCAATATATCATTAAGGTAGCCCAAGGTCCCTTCTTGTCAAGGAAGACTAGCTGATTCCAGGGGGAAGGAAAAGCAGAATCCAGGGCACCTGTAAATCCCTGTAGTTTTGTGCTGTGGGTTTGTAGTTAATTATACAGCAAGCAACAGTAATATGCTGTACCCCTGTTGGTGTACTTGTTTCCAAAAGAGCAAAATCTTCCAGCAGAGCAAAGAAGGGGCTTTGGAGGTGCTGTAAATGAATGAAGCAATGATCATTTTATGGTAAACTGAAGCTCTGCAGTGGAATAAGGGCATCTGAACTGCAAGGAGGTGGTCGGGGAGATGCCAATAGAAATACATGGTTCAGATGTGTTACACAGCTCTTGATTTGGATTCTCCTACAGAAATATAGTCAGGCAAGGAGACCACCACTGGTCACAGTCAGTCAAATAGCTCTTTCTCCTATGGCACTGCTGTTAGTGACTGCTAGTAGGTTATTCAGCCGACCTCTTCTGATTCTGCTTTGCTGCCTGATTTCAAAAGATTTGCGCTATACTGGCTTTCAGTCACAGCTTGATGTAACCACTGCTTGTTTGCATGCATCCGCATCATTTCCATATATGGTCTTTTTTTTTTCTTCTTCAAGTTAGAAGGCAACAGAATCAGGAGCATTTTTATATGATAAAAGATTTATGTAGGGCCAGCTAGAACCAAGCAAAATGAAATTTAGCTGGAAGGGATGGTAAAAAGGCTCAGAGAACTTGTGACTGCCAGAGAAGTCAGTGTTCCTTAAATTAAAGAGGGTTCAGCTTGCAGGCGGCAACTCTGACTTTGCATTCGTATTGAAGCAAGCCATTCTGAGCAGGCAGATCAATAAAATCAGAGGTGACTTAATGCCAAGAACCTTAGAATTGAAAGGATTTCTCTTGTCCTTCTTTGAAGTCTATATTGACATGGAATGCTAGCTTCGGGAACTGAGATAAGAAAATGCCAGGTCTAGATTGTGGTTTACAACACCATATTGAACAGTGTCCTTGGAAAGCATCCCCTTTGGTTTCTCAGTTATCACATCTGTAAAATGGAGCTAATCTACTAGAAGGAAAATGGTTCCAATATTGATCAAATATTGTCACTCAAGATTCATCATCATAAGTATTTTGAATAGCCCAAACATCAGATTATAGAAGTAAATTTATGTTCCATTTGTGTATTTGAAAATATAGTTGATTGCTTTATCAGAGATTGAGCAGTTAATTTTGCATGAGGAGTATCCAGTGGAATAGGGTAAGTTTTATTTTATTTTTAGCTACATAAATGGAATATCTGACTCCTATACAATCTGTTCCTTAGTTTATTTTTATACAGACTGTGGATCTAGCTTTCTGATATATCACAGTAGTGTGCAGTATGCCACATTTGTCATATTCTTTTAAATTGATCAAATAGCCCTCGTGTGGGATTATAAAATACGTAAATGATCATTATGGACATGCCTATATATTTATCTTTTAATAATTTATCCTTCCTTCCCTGCTCATCTCCCCTACGAGCCTACATCTCATTCTACCAAAGAGGATAAGCTGGCTCTAAACTTACCTCTTACATGATTTATTTGGGATGATTCCTTTAAAAACTGGAGATGCTGGGAGTTTTGCTTTTTACCCCATAGTGTGTATATGGTGCATAATTCTTACAACAAAGCAGCAGGGTGTTCCCTATAAGAGCTTGAGAATTGCCAATGGAGAAAGGCTGGCTTTTTATAGGTGGTGGTGTTCTTTTCAATTCAGGCCTTTTTCTTTTTTTTTTTTTTTTTTTGAGACAGAGTCTCACTCTGTTGCCCTGGCTAGAGTGCCATGGCGTCAGCCTAGCTCACAGCAACCTCAAACTCCTGGGCTCAAGTGATCCTACTGCCTCAGCCTCCCGAGTAGCTGGGACTACAGGCATGCGCCACCATGCCCGGTTAATTTTTTCTATATATTTCTAGTTGTCCAATTAATTTCTTTCTAATTTTTAGTAGAGACGGGGTCTCGCTCTTGCTCAGGCTGGTTTCGAACTCCTGAGCTCAAACAATCCGCCCGCCTCGGCCTCCCAGAGAGCTAGGATTACAGGCGTGAGCCACCGCGCCCGGCCAATTCAGGCCTTTTTCTACTGAAAACTTGGCCCTTGTCCTGTGAAGACTCCCAAAGGGATTAGAGTGTAGCGATAGAAGCAGTGAGACCATTTTATTAGTTTAAGAAATTTGTTAACAGTTGAGAAAGATTATACTAGTTTGTAAACTCCAGAAACCTGGATGAATGGAACTTGAGACTGCTTTGGTTGTAGGGTTCTTCTCTGAACTGAGAGACAGTTCAGGTGGCCCCTTTTTATACTCTCATTAGCATCTGCAGTTAATTTTCTGTTTACCTATCCCTCCCTCTGGTCTAGAACCTGTGCATACTTTTTATGTGTTGATGAGGGCCAAATGCATTATATAATAACTAAGGATCTCTTATAAAATAAAACTCATTGTCCTGAGTGAGAGGCTTAAGGAATCCAAACAGCAAAGGTTCAGATTTTTGCACTCGGAGGTTGCTCTTGCTGCCTTATGAATTCACTCTGTGATACAGGTTTGATGCAAAGAGCGTTTCTACTCACAAATCACATGAGGTATACAGTTTGTGTGCAGTGATATGTCACAGCTTTTTATTTATATGGCCAGCTCAGTCTATTCTGCTCCTTTCACTGCCATGGAAAGTGCATCATTTTCCTCCCTCTATTCTCCTTCCCACATATCATCAGCACCACCCACTATGTTCTGCCTATTAAGTCCTCTGTATGCCAGAAAACCTCAACAGTGATTAAATGCTGATAAGGGAATGTTAGAAGGTTAAGATATCAACCAGTCAGCCCCCTTACAATGCCCCTAAATTGTGGGTGGTAAGTATAACTTTGCCCCTTTAACATTGAAAATAAGGATTTTTATTTGCTTGATTCTTTTTCAGCTGGGGAAATGACTGACATCAAATTTTCCAAAAAGAGTTAGTGGCAAAGACCGAGGAAAATGCAGGAGACTCACTTCATAGTTTCCCATTCTTGTCCTAGTCTTTCTTTCGTTACTTTGGCACATTTCTTTGTAAGGAATTTCCAGGGCTAGTCAAATTTATGTAAGGTTTTATTTATGAGAAGCCTAGAGTTTTTAAGCTAACAGCAATTTTAAAAAATCATTATTACCCTAAACTCATTTAATTAAGAATTATTAATTAATTTTAACAAATTATACCACTCTAGTGATAAAATCCTTCATCATTGCATTCCTGCATGATTTTCAGTTCCTTTAAGCTCCTATAATACAGAGGATGTGCCTTCCCACCCACCACCATGGGAGGAAGACTATGGTTAAAAAGACTTAGAACAGGTATCTAGGGAACCCAGATTACTGGATTCTTTCCTTTGCAAGTGAATTCTTAGGTCAATCACACATCCTAGAAAAGCAATTAAGGTAGAAGGAGCTGTGGAATCAACTTCTCTGGACCTCCTTATTACACCTTTAGTAATGGGAACCAAAAAGAAGAGTCTTAAGAATCTTGTCAAGAATTATATTTCTTGTTTAAGCTTATGTTAATATACCATATCATATAGTTTAAATTAATTTTCATCAGCCTGTGTTTTACCACTACTCTGCATTATTTTTTGTAATAGAGCTGTAAAAAAAATCCATGGTAAATACATTTCGACCCTTTCCATCAACAGCTGCTGTGGTGAGGTAGGTCAGGAGGCATGCCTTTTTGGAGGCACCCTGGGGGTGGAAGGGTAATGAGCACTTAATTATGTCTCCGGAATGCCAGAGCTGCCAAACTGGAGCTCCTCATGACTGGTCTGTATCTACTCTGACAATTCTTTTATTATGGCTTTCACTAACCAATCAGTAACTAACTGTGGTTGTTTAATTACAGAGGGAACATCCCCACGCTAAACAGGTACCGTATATTTAGTTTCTTTTCCAATTAAAAGCGCCTTCTTTGTAACTTAGAATAGTGAAACCAGGAAAAAATAACACAGCGATTGACAAACTAATGTGTTATCTTCTGCTAGGGAGTCCTGAGCTCCCCTTTGGACATACTAAATTATTCTTTCTGTTTGGAAAACATGTCTTCAGCTTTTCTTCAGCTGTTCAAAAAGCAATTCTTGAAAAGCCTCAGTATGGAAAAGCTCCCATCTAGATATATATGATAGGGGGTTTCTCTGTCTGATGTTCAGCTTTGCTGGAAACATCTTCCTTTGCTAAGTCCTCTGTCTAGTTTGGGGCTTTCAGAGGAGAAACCCTTAAGGTTACTCCTATCCTGGCAAATTGTTGATAATTTTTTCCATTTTTAGTTTTTCTAATTTGCTGCTGCTTTCAGAGGAGTACAAATCCAGAAATAGCTGATCTCATGTTTTATCAGTTTGTTAATTTTCTAAAGTGTTATAATAATAAGAAAGTTAATTTTTATTTCAGACCTATAATAAGATTAACATTGGAAAAGTATATTTTAAGTTTTGATGTGTTCAGCCCTGTGAAGAGGTTTCCAGGCCAATATAACACAAATGATATTTTAATAATTTGAGTTTTCCTGCCTCCTGAACCAAGCAAGGCAACACAATGCAAGTTTGAGAGGACAGCAATTCTGATTGGAATTGAATCCACAAAATGCTAAAGCAGTTTTAAGTTGGGGGCAACCTCTTTGTGGATAATCGGCTACACATGGAACTATTTATAGACTTATATTTATTTTGTCCCTCTCCGTTTAAAATATTAAGTAACCAAAACTGATCGTAGCTTTTATAGTCCAATTTGGATGTGGAGAGGAAAGGGAGTGCTTTTATTTGATCCCCTGATCTTCCCTTCGAGAGTGGGTTTGGTTCATTCCTGCCTGCCTTTAGCTGCCCTGGCCCATGAGCATAGTAGTTGGAGGGAACTGAATATTGAATACTTCCCATGGGGTCCAGTTGATTGAAAAAGAGACTTAATCCCATGTTTGCCACAAACCCACCTTGTTAACTTATTCAAAGGGAGTTCCTTTAAATGTTGTCTGTAACCTTTTATCTTTCCTGTGTAATGCCAAGCAGGTAGCAAAGATACAATGCCTCACAAACTTGCTCCTTTAGTAAATATATTTGGTGATCCTAGAAAAGAGGGGGATGATAGCATTTCTGAGTTAATACAACTCTGAATCCCAGTTTCTAGTGAGCACCATGTGTGAGACTTGCTTGATGTGTGTTTCATTTGTTTGTTTCATTCATGATATCAATGGTTTCCTCTCCCACTCTGCCTTTCTATTCCCCAGTACTGTCAAAAGATGAAGTACTTTTCCTATAGTCATCATTCACCAAAGGAATAAAAACCTGGAGTGTCAGTCTCTATAGTCTGTGTGAGCAGCACTCCCATCCTATAAAGAATGCCATTGCCTTTTATAATTATGATTTGCAATAGAGTACAATTATGTACCTAGGTCTCAGGTCCACATTGCTGTCTCTCTTCCCCCTGCAACGCTGCAGGTGGTGCACTTCAAGGAGATTTTTTGGGCAGTTTCCCAAAGTTCAAGTGCCATTGCCTTGCTCTGAACTTGCTTCAGATCAGTATGCCAGTAACCTGTCAGGCACGTCCTGGAGGCATCCTTTAGCTTGGTCCTTCCTAACAGGCTGTCCTGATTGGGCATTCAGAAATACTTTACAGTATTATTTATCAGTACGTACTGCTGAGGTCCATCAAGGAATATACAGATTCATTATGTTTTTAGATTGAACAAGTCAGTTCAGTTCTCTTCAAACATCTCCATTTAGCAATTGTTTGTCATGCTTACACATACTTTGAGACCCATGCTCTGCCCTTTTGTATCTTGCTGGAAATGATTAAGGGCTTTCTATGGAGATATTTTTGCTTTGGCATACAAGTGTTTACTTATAAAAAGGAAATTTTGCAGTTCGGGGTTGAAAAAGATCTCTCTTTCAAAAAGGGAGAACTATAATACTAATAAATATCCCTACCAACCCATTAAAGAAAAAGTAAATACCTCAGTAAAGTTTCTTTTATAGACTGTGACTTGTTTCTGTATCGTAAATAATGTTTTTATGATTATTAAACCATTCTAAATGATTTAATTAAAATTGTTGTTTTACATATCTACCTATCTCTGTATCTGTGAATACTTAATCCATAATAATTTCTAGAGAAAAATGCCTTAAGTGTTGCGTAGTTACAACTCACTTGGCTTGCTTATTGCCTTTTAAAGGAGGGAATGTTTTAGGGAGGGGGAAGATGCAGGATGGTTTTTAACCCCTATGTGTTATTCATTCATTAGACATGTCATAATGTCATTGTATTAAAAGACTGCCATGAAATTCCTGACAGAACTTATGTTTCTATTTGAAGAAATTTTGGAGTGATGAAAATATACTTTATATGAGGAAATTCCAAAGAAAGTGTTAATATGAATCTAGCAAGACAACCAGATCCATAGTGGGTAAAAAACCAAATCTGCTCTGTAACCTGACCCTACTTCAGAGTTTTCTCCTAGCTCCTAGTTCCTTTTCCCTACTGTTACTTTCCCAGTCCTCATTCCTACCCTCCTTGTCTAATGAACTTGATTGAATTACCATTTAGAATGTCCTTCTCCTCCAACCTCAACCACTATGGCATGACTCATGTAGCTAGTGTCAGCGATGTGCTATTGGACAACTCATTCACTCCACCGTGTCAGCGTATGGGCGGAATGGTCTCTTTTCGGACTTTTGAGGATTTTGTCAGGTAAGACATTGTGGAGTTGTGTCTGTACAAGGGGAGCCACGGGCATCTCTGTTTTGGGATCTCAGCTTTCTGCAAAATGAATAAAGGTCCCCAGAATAGCCATGAACCAGCTAAGGAGATGTAGCCTTTGCTGTATATGCCCTCAGAGAGGTATATATCCTTCCATTTCCACCTCTCATTCAGACTCTACAAGCCTCTACTTGTAATATGAGCCTGGTCAGAAAAAAAGAAACAAAAAAAACCCCATCTTTTCCTTAGGAGCTAACAGAAGAAGCTGTCTGCTCTGTGATGAGTGAAATGTCAGGAGAAATTAAACATAACACTAGAGTGAGCCCCACCAGAGACGATACATCTTTTGATTAAATGCATTCAACATCTATCTCTTGATGTATACTGATGCATTACCCTAGGGGGAGGGGTAATTACATTGGTCTGTCACTGCTACAGTTCCAGGCTCTTTCTGTTACTTTAAGACCGATGATGACAGCAGTGCTCATATCTTACATATGAAAAAAAACAAAACAAAAAAGCTTTAGATCATTCTTTTTTAAAAAGAAAAAATATATATGGTTTATTAAAGTTTAAACAATCCATCCTTCTAATTTCTGCCACTTGGTGAAATTTTGCATGTCACCTCTAGCCACTGGTGATTCTATTCAGTTAACTATTGAGCATAGGGTAGGATAGATTATTCTTTTAGACTGAGCTGGAAATGGTAGCATTAGTTTCCTGCCACTTAGGTTTTCATGGTGGGTGTTTCTCTGGTATTTTTTAGGATCTTCGATGAAGTGATGGGCTGCTTCTGTGATTCCCCACCCCAGAGCCCCACATTCCCTGAGGCAGGTCACACGTCGCTGTATGATGAAGATAAGGTAGAGTGGAGACTGCTTTATTTCTTCAGACATGAGACTTGTACTTACATGTGCTATCTTTCTGACTTTGGAACATAATAGGGAAGGATTCATCTTTTTACCCTACTTTATATTATTTAATTTTGTGTGTCTTATGAAAGTATTTTTTGGAAATGGGTAGAATATAAATTCTAAGTTTTAAAAAATGCTATATTAATTTTAGAATCCATAGTGTAGCATGGGCTTAGCTGTATCCATTGCAGCTGCCTCTGGGTCTCTGAATGTTGTTTTAAGAATCTGAGCTGTGGTTACTGGAATTCTTACTCAGTGATAGCTTGTATCTTTGCATGGTGGTGCTATCATAGTCCATAGGGAATAGTGGATTTTAGATTGCTGGAGAAAAAATAGGCATTTTGTTTAAGACTTTGTCCTTTTATTAAATCTCTTCTTTTCATTTCTCAGTAAACAAATTATTCTGTCCTTTCACTACGATATTTTTTTTTTTTATGGTTTGATATTTCCATTGTTTGGCATAGTATAAGGAAATATATTATGTGGGCATATGTTCAGATGGCTTCTTTAACTCACTTTCCTTCACATTCTGGGAAGAGTGTGGCAAATAGTTTCACCTCCATTTTATTGGTGAAAAAATTGAGACATAGTGATCTTCAAGTTCATGTCAAGTCAAGATTTGGGGCTGTCTCTAATTAATGCCTTTGCTGGCTTATCTTTTAAAAGTTATATGCTTTACTTTATTTAATCTCTGTTGTGGGTGTTGGGCAGTGGTTTCAATTTACTTATTCTACCGATGGGCAAACCAAAACATCTTGTGGGGTGAAGCTCTTTTTCAGGTATTCTACCAAGTACCATAACTTCTCTCTGCTTCTGTATTGGCGAGCTTCATAATTTCTTTGGCTTGTGTTCTTGGATTATAGGTCCCCAGGGATGAACCAATTCACATTCTGAATGTGGCTATCAAGACTGACTGTGATATTGAGGATGACAGATTAGCAGCTATGTTCAGAGAGTTTACCCAGCAAAACGTAAGTCCTTGATTGGGTGGAAGCTAGTGATGGCCTCTTTCCTTCTGGCTGTATGTCGTAGCTATCCTTTTATCACTTGCTACTTGTAAGGCCTATCACTGATAATGGCTATGTCTTTTATCAGTGCTATCAGAACCATGGCTAGTTCTGCCTGTAGGGATAAAACTCCTAAGTAATTTAATAATACATAATGAATATCTTTTTTATGTCAAGAAATATAGAACTCAAATATTCAAAATGTTTTTAAGGGAACTTGTGTTCCTAAATCTCTCCCAGAGCTCCAGTCTTGAATTTCCAATCATCTGTTGAATATTTTCCTTTGGTGACTTAACTCCACGTGTCTAAACCTAGCTCAGGTCCCTTCTATGTCCCTCCCTCCCCTCCCTTGAAAATAAATATCAGCTATGCTTGCATCCTCCTCTCAATTTTATATCATTTGGATATCTCCTGTTGACATCAAAATCTGTAGTCTAAATTTAAATTTCCATCATTTTTCTTCACCTCTTCTCATCCACCTCAAACCCCCTCCCCATAAAACAAAACCAAACAAAAAACCCCACAACTAACCAAACCTTTATTCCCAGTCGTTCAGAAATCATTGACTTCTTCCTTTTCTTTGACATTCTATTATTCTACCCCTCTACCCACAATCCGTACATGTATATTTATATGTGTTCAGACACTAAGGTCTATTAGTTTTTCTTTGCAGTGTTTCTTACCCTTTCTCCTTTTCATCTTTTCAGTTTTAAAATTCCCACTGCCATCTTTCTAATTTAAACCCATACTGTCTCACACCTGAGACAATGCAAGGAGTTTACTTGTGATCTACCTATCTTCCTTTACTCTCTCCCTCCAGTTTCCATTCTGCTCACCACCACAAAATTAAATGTCTAAAATGCCCTCTTAGTGTATTATTTTCCCACTCAACCATGATTCTCTCTTACCTTCAGAATACCACCTTAACTTGAGATTTAACTTAAGCCTATTAAGAGAGACTAACATCTAACCTTTGGCATTTTGTGAAAAGACCTAAGTCTTCATTGTCTCCTCTGCCTTGTTTACTTCATCTCTTCTATTGCCTCTCACCTGGAATGTTTTCCTCTTTCTTTTCCTTTTTCCCTAAATCCTATTTGTCTTAAGAACTGTCTCACATTTCATCTCCTTAATGAGGACTTCTGAGTAGCCCTAACTAAAATAAATGTATTTTTCTCCCTTGAATTTCTTATTGGTCCACATACACTTATTAGCAATACTTTTTATTTACAAAGGACCTCTATCTAAACTTTTTTCTTTGTACCTTACCACAATCTCATGGCATTGATTAGTTAGAAATTATTCCAGCTGAACACATGGGAAAGGCTCAAGTTCAGAGAAATTAAGGCCCCTTGGCCACCAACTGGAAGATGATAGAGCAAAGACTTGAATTTAAGGCTTCAATGTCAGCTCTTGGGGGCACAGATATAGGCTCTTTAGTAAATGACACATTCTTCGCCCTGAAGATGCTTACAGTCCAGTTGGGAGGACTGGATTGGCATGCTTAAAACAATAATCTAAAGTTACATTTCATTGTGGTATGGAATAGATGCCAATGTGCCCTCTTAAACTGCCCTTAATAGCAAGATCCATGTGTTCTCTTTGAATGGACAGCACTTAGCCCATGGTGCTCGTTACAGAGAAAAAACTCAATAGATATTTTAAAAATTTAATTCAACAGTGTAAATAATAGTTCCATCAGCACTTTTATCATGTAATGCTAATTGTAAATACCCAGGGAAAAAATGCTAAATTTGTGACTCATGTGAGTCTTAGTACTTACTCCGTGATGCTCTCACAGCACACTGTGGGATTGCAGTGGCCAACATGAAGAAAAGATACTTCCACAGAAGTGAAAGTAGAAGACATGCTTGGGGATTTTCTTTGGAAGAGAAATTTACCTTCCTTCTTGCCCTTGGGTAGCGACTACATAAAATTAACCTAAAGCCAGAGAACAAGGTAACCTTTGCTGGAAGAGTCCTAATGTGTGTGTGGCTGCTGCTGCTTCATGAAATAATCTATAAAAAGTTTCTTCCCAGGTTTGGAGGCACTGATTGCTTTTCCATAATTTGACCACAACTTCAGGCTTTTTCTTACCCTCAGATCTAAGTGTTGTATATCATCACACGTTGATTTAAAGAGGTAGTTTCTTCATTTTCACTACATTGTAACGTTAATGATCCATAAGAAATTACCTTTTTCCCTTACTGGACTTGTAAACTGAGGCACAGAGAAATCCAGTGTCTTTGTCTCAGGCTATTCAGAAAGGTAAGGGTAGACTGTGCTGGCACTCCATGCCGTGGACAAGCTATTAACCACATCAGGTACTGTGCTTCTACAGGAATATTTGGCATTCTCATCTCCTTGTTTAAAACTATACATATATAAAGAAAAGGAAGGAAAAGCAATTTAAAAAAAAAGCTGAAGTGATAACTGGTTTTGTTTTTCACTTCATGATCATGCTCCTAGCAGTTTAGAAAAAGTTTTTTTTTTAAAGCACACATTAAACTATCAAATAGGTTGATCCAAATTGTCCAAATAATCTTCTAGTCCCAGCATGTCTTTTTTTCTCTCATAGAAATTAGGATCATATATTTGTAAATGACTTGTGGAGGAGATTGAAGCAGTCAGTGTAAATGGAGTTTCTCCAGGTGCTGACGCCTAATCGCTGGGTAATAGCTGTGGACTTGCTGTGAGACCCACATTATTACAATGTAATCAGAATCCTGTTGCTCTGCTGTTATTGTCAGCCACTTGTGGAATTTTAAAAGCAATAACAATTTTGATTTTAAATCATGGCATTATTAAAGTTATTTTCTTCCCTTGCCAGAACATAGCTATTGATGCTTGTCTTTGAAGGATTTGACTGTAGTAGAATTCTTTGTTGGTGTCAGAAGAAATGTCTCTGTTCCCAGCACACTGAACACTGAAAGCCACCACACCCTCTTTCTTTCAGTGCAGTTTTTTCTTACGGTAGTGTCCATACTGGGTTAATTAACAGCAAGGCGTATAATGACAGTACAGATAATTTTTAAGTGTGGCTAAACCAAAACTTATTTATATTTGACCTGGAAATTTATTATTAGAATTTGTTTATAGAATATTAATTTCTCCAGTTATCTTTTGTTTATGCTTTTAATAAAATTAATTTCATTACTCAGCAGTAACATAGCAAACATGGAGAAATAGGAGGAAATAACCCAGGAATGTGCTTCTTTATAAGGGAAAGCCAACTTGGATTTTAAAAAATGCATATGGTATCGGGAATGTTAAGAATTGGCTTATGCTAGCTGAGCGTGGTGGCACGCACTTGTAGTCCCAGCTACTCAGGAGGCTGAGGCAGGAGGATCACTTGAGCCCAGGAGACCCTGTCTCTGGGGGAAAAAAAAAAAAAATTGGCATATGAATATATCCCTTGGTTAGAGTTATAGCAAGAATGTGATCACACTAAAATATGAATGTATATTCCAAAAATCCACATATTTTTTTCCTATTTGTATTATTCATATATTCAGCTGATAGGATTGCTTTCCTACTTGTTGCCATGTAGTCCTTCTTTGTTAGGGACCTTTAAAAGCGTGTGTTTTACTTAATTCATTAATCTGTTACTTTGTCTCTGCCTTTTGAGGTAAATAAGCAGTATAGGAAAGAGGAAGGCATAGGTCCAGAGACCCAACACTCCTATGAAGCGTTCTTGAAACTACTGGTCTCTGTTGATTTCTAATGTACTGCTTGCCTACACCATATAGAGATATGACTAATCCCCAAATTTAAAAGCCTGTTAAACATTGCTTTAAATAATTTTTAAAGAGAAACTTTGTAAAAAAAAAAATATCTTCGTGTAAAGTAGGGGCAACTGTTTTAGAAGAACTAAAAAGTTAGGGTTTGTTAGGTTGAATTCTAGGAAGGCTGTAACTGATGGTAGATAATATCTGTAACACTTTAGGACTTGTGTTTTCTGTTTTATAGAAAGTTCTTCTTTTCCTTCTACCTGATTTCATTTAGCTTCTGTATCAATATTAATCTCCACCTTTGAATACATGCCCAACAGTGTGATTTCTTTAAGCAGAAATTATGTTAAGGTCTACCTTGATGTGAATCAGTTCTGAGAGAACTTAGGTGACCTCATATGAACCTTTCTCCTACACAAAGTTCTCTTTCAATTTAGTTCAGATCAATATAAACCCTATTCTATAAGACTTAGTCCCAGGAGCCAGGTTGAGATTGGTTTATTTACAAGTTTGAAAGTACTGAGCCAAGGTGTAGATATCCAAAAGGGGTGCTTAGCCCAATCAGAGCCTTACCAAGACTGATGGGGTAAAATTTTGCATGAATGGAAATCTAATCTATCTTCTGTTTCACATGTTTGCTCACAGAAGGCTACCCTGGTTGAGCACGGGATCCGCCGCCTTACTTTCCTGGTTGCACAAAAGGTATTGGCATGTGAATTGTACCTCTTTAATATTTCTTATACTGCTGCTAAAGCTTAATAAAAATGGGATTAAAATTATGTTTACTTATAGAATTTATGCAGATAAATAACTGTTTTTCTATAAATTTGATTTTCAAAAAACATTAATTTAATTCATCACGTTTTACTCAGTTCATTTTTAATTTTATTACTAATTACCAGCTTCTGTTGTTTTTCCTTTCTTTCTGTTTTTTATTTGAAAGGATTTCAGAAAACAGGTCAACTATGAGGTGGATCAGAGATTCCATGTAAGTAAAAGGACCAATAATGAAAGATAAAAAAAACTGAAAGATTACTTACTGTTTTATCTGTTTGCCATTGATTATCTAAACAGAATATGTGTGAGTTGGAAGGGCTGGACTGATATTTGGTTCCTTTTCTTGTAGAAATTATTATGAGTATTCAGTTTTCCTATTGAATGTCCTAGTTAAAATTTTTTTCTCTTTTTACCCTCTAATAAATTCTCAATATATTTCTGAGAAATAGTTAAGAATGATCATATGCATTTATCCAGATGTATAAGGTAGAAACAGGAGCCAACTAATAATTTCTTTTTTTTTTTTTTTAATAGAAGTATGACTAGTAGTTTCCTCTGTGCACATAGCAAATCAATAATCAAGAACTGCCGATTGCACTTTTGGATCTTGGCTTCTACCAAAGACAGATTCAAGTTCTATTAATGAGAATTCTCAATTCTGAAGAACAATGATTTATTATTTAAAATGTATTAACAGAGACCAAATTGCTATTTTTTTCTTATGTTAATTTTAGGAACAGGAAATAAATAAAAATTAAGCATTCTGTTGCTTGTTCTCCAATTCAACTGAATTAACTGTTAATAT